TAAATAAACTTGACTTGCTTTTTTTAGCTGAGTTTATATCTACATCCAGAGTATAGTCTAATGCGAATCGGAGAAGCTTTGTTTTTGCCTAATTTTGACTACTGGAAAATTCTGGCGAAATAGACCAAAAAAACACTCTGGCGAAGTTTACTTTTTTCTAGCTTTTTATAAAACAAAAGGAAAGGAGGCTGCTGATTTATCCGATTCCCTTAAATAGCTGCAGCAAGTCTAGAGAAAATAATGGGAATTGCCGTAAGTATATTCGAAAGCAGTTTAAATATATTCCAGAAATCAAATAGCGAATATGGGTCAAATAGCTATTGCCTCAATTTGTGGCCCTCAACTACAGACAATTTGAATAAATCTTAGACCCAGGACTGTATGGGCGAAAAAAATTAATAGAAAAGTTAAAAATGTTATCATATGCGGGGAACTTTAGCTTTTATGGTTTCAATAGATAAAAAAATGCATTCCAACAATTGCACAGGTAGCGCGTTTGTAGATTTCACACCGTCAGTGGAGAGGGGAGTACATCGGTCTAGGGGGCAATGACGTTTTATGGAAGAAATTAATCCCAATTTCGAATATCAAAAATACAGCAAGAATTAAGAAGTTTAGGATAGCTAAGTAAAGGGTTCATTTTTCGTCGTGGCTCTTCTAAATCCAATGTAAAATATTTAAGAGAATACACAATATGATTTTGTTAATTTCTTCCTTTTGACCACTTTTCCCCACTTTTTCCCATGCCGACAAGTAAATATATTATCACAGTAAAGCAAAAGAAGAAAATAAGAATAAAAATTCATCTAATCAAAAGATGATTGTACCTAAAATCTAGTGATTGTACCTAATGTACCTTTAGGTCAGCAAACGTCGGAAAAAGGTACAATTGTACCTACTTTTTCATCCCTGGTGTGGTCACAGAGCGCTCAGTAAGCTATCACGATTGAGAGAATACAAAGGTTGCGCCGATCTCGGACCGCTATTCCTCTCTTAACGAATTTGACAGAATCGTGGTTTGCATGACGTCACACTTGTGCAACTTGTTTACGTTTTCCTTGCAACATTTTTTCTTCTTCTTCCATTCTTGCTCACGTTTTGGCATTTCTCTCTCGCAATTGCACCAATGTGACGTCACACAAAAGTTATTCTCAAAATCTTCTCTGATCGGCGCAATCTTGTATTCTATCATTCTTGGTAAGCTATGGCATGTCGATCGCTGCGCAAGGTAAAGAAAGAAAAGTGTGTGCTATGACATGCACAGAATTGTTTGTCTCAGTTTCAGTTTTTCTATCACCGCGAGTTGTTTCGGTGCGCGCATAGTTATTTAAAAATATACAGTTTGATGCCAACCGGGGTTTTTCAATGGATGTATAATTCATGTGAATTATAATTTGAAAGTGTGTTTAGCCAAGGAAAAAGCAAGGCAGTATACTTCCAGATATTTACCTGGGTTTTCGCACGACTGTTCCTGTTCCATCGTTGTTTTTTAGGAAATGCATACCACCATATACATATGTATTATTTACTTTAGTAACTAACTTATGTAAATATGTACGTATTTTTTAAGCTTAATATATGCAAATAAAAGAAGAAAGTAAACACAACAAACATCGAGTAAATTTTTATTTGTATCAAACTGAAACTTTCTTTCCAATAATAAACGGTTAGCTGATTCAAGTCTACAGCAAGTTCACAAAATTAACTTGTATCAACCAAAGCATTGTTTATATTTACTCAACAATCATTTTATTCAACTAACAATATTGTCCAATCAAGGTAGTCGTTTTGTAATTATTAACAAATATACATTTGTCCCAACTAGAAGTCTTAAGTAAATTGCTGACTTCGTGAACTAGATATTTATTTCGTCATATCCAACTATGCCACTTGGTCACTATAACCAAATCGTGGTTATTATAACTAAACCTTTTTCTGGGTGTAAGCAGTGCGCGCTTCCACTCCGCGACGCCTGGGTTCAAGCCCTGGTCAAAGCAACATCGCAAAAAATATAAAAAAAAAGGTTTTTTCTTAACAGCGGCCGCCCCTCGACAGGCAATGGCAAACCTCCGAGTGTATTTCTGCCATGAAAAACAGATTGTCATAAAAATACAATCGCCATTCGGAGTCGGCGTAAAACTGTAGGTCCCCCGGCTTTGTGTGACAACATCAAGGCGCACGCCACAAATCGGAGGAGAAGCTCGGCCAAACACTAACATATGTGTAAGCGCCAATCTATTATTATATTATTATGTATGTATAAACATTAATATGTAAGCAGAGCTATAAAAATATTCGCAATGAGATAAAACTTTATTAAGCAAATAAGAAGTTTGGAAAGTTCATAATGATTTACCTATTTAGAAGGGAATGAATAAGCATCTATATATCGAGCTCTAAACGCCAAAATAACGTAAGCGAAATTTTTTTCAAAATTTTCTTTTTGATGCAGAAATATTCCTAGAGCATCTAGATGCATTTCTGCATCAAAAAGAAAATTTTGAAAAAAATGTCGCTTACGTTATTTTGGCGGTTAGGGCTCGATATGAGCCGTTTATTTTGGCATAAGTCACATTTTCAAAAAAAAAAAATCGAGTCAATGATACCACTAATTATGGCTTCACGGTATCTATTCCTTAAAAAAATTTGCATTGAAATGTTGAGAACTACTGAGTTTACGTTAGAGAGAAGTTTTGCTAGTCAGCGGTATAACGAAGATGTTTATTTTGAAAGTGGCATAAGTTACTCAAAAAAATCAATGATAACACTCATCACACAGAGAATTTCATACCAAAAAAAATACTCAAATATAAAAAAATATAGTAAAACCGCGTTATCGATCTGACATCAGGATTCTTTTTTAAAGGACTTGGAAATTTTAAATGTATGATTAATTTAAAAAATTATTTAAAAAATCTGGTGCAATGTAGAATAACAATAGGAGTACCAAATGAATGAGAAAATCCTGTAGAATTTAAAAATATTAAATTTTTCCGTGCCTATGGATGAATAGGCATTGAAAATTTCCTTTTAAAATTTTAGCCTTGAGTATCCTTGAAAATTTGCAGTATTTATTTTTGAAAAGCTTTTCAGATTTTTTCGTGCTGAATTCGATGCTGACCCCAGAATAGCCCAATCACGTCACACGATGAAAAACTTTTTTTTTCAGAAAGATCATCTCGTTATCTAAAAGTACAATTGCTCCCCTCTAAAATTCATTTTAAAGCTTTAAAAAAATCTTTATTTGTCACCGAGAAGTCGTCTGTTGAATTTACTGAGTTTAGTAAATTCGTCGATATTCTGAAAATGAGGAGTATTGTGAAAAAATTGTTTTCATCGTGTTACATGAGTTCAAATGTGCCCAAAAACCGTGATTTTTTGTACTTTTAGGTTAGAATATCTCGAAATCCTGACGTGATTGGGCTATTTTGGGGTCAGATTCGAATTCAGCACGTCAAAGACCTTGGGAAAAGTTAAGTCCGATTCTTGGTTAGAAAATTTAATGAAATTTTGTCGGCCTGTGTTATGGGTTAATGATTAATATGCACACGAGCCTTTTTTGAATTTCATCCTTGTACCGTAATAGCTTAATTCAATTAACATTCTCTGCTTTATCTTCATCTAACAGCTCATTTACACAGCGTGTTCACTACCGTTAGTGATAGCAGAGCGTAATCTGCGAGCGCAACTAAGCAGTATAGTTTCAGGCGCTGGTATGATAGATTCTATTGTGAACTCTATGGTAAGATAAAATACCGGCAATTAGTTTCAATGAATCAGCAGTTAGCCCTGTGTTATTTCTATACTAATTTCTGTAGAGCACTTACCGGGTGTGCGGCTTGTACCTGAGCTGAATGCTTTAATTAAATAAGACACCGATTTGTTTCTGATTATGCTCCCAATTCGTGACACATTGGGCGCGTTCATAAGACTTACATAGCTATTGCTAAACGTTGACTGTTTGTCCTAGAAACGCTCAGCTCAACAGTCGCCAACTTTCCGCCATTTTTTCCATGGTACAATTTTTTCGCTACCTGAACTCAACGTATTTTGCTCAGCCTAAACAGATGATCGAAAAGATTTACGACGCTTATATTAAATGTACTATGCTCATAAATGGAGAGTCAGCCCTTAATAAAAATATTATGTGCGGGTTATGTAAAATAAAACTAAAAATTTCAAAATAAAATAATGTAAAAAAAGATATTTTTTAAAAATAAGCTTTTATTTAACATGTACATTAAAACCGAAGTAAATCAATACAAATTGTTAGTAATTTTCATTAGAGTTTGAGTAATTCCTTTCGCCATTTGGCTTTTAGTAACTTTAACGAAAGCTTAACTTATTTTATTTTATTCGCTTTAATGCAGTTATAACAAAATTTTCTTGCTAAAAAATCTTTTTTTTTACATTATTTTATTTTATTCCTTTGATTGTACATGATAAACAGAAGCTTGTTTTTAAAAAATATTTTTTTTTTTACATTATTTTTTGTAAGTATCATTTGAATTAATGTGACTGGCGGGACAATGAAAATAATTTTATTTTACCCTCGTGCACTCAAAGATGAATTTTAGCCAAAATACCTAACTTTCACAAACGGTGTTTTTGTGGTGTAAATATGAATTATACGCTTTCGTTTTCAATAAAAATGAGGTTTATATAATCTTCATAAAATATGAAAAAATATTTAAAGTTGTGACTGGTGAGACATCTCCTTGTGACTGGTGTAAAGTAATTATGCACGAAATAAAAGTTTCCATAGACAAAAATTACAACTTCTTTTGATTTTTTTAACATTTTCAAACAAATTAATGAAATGTAGATATTTTAAAAGAGGTAAATCTGAAATAAGAGATAATTAGGGCATATTTAAATTTATGTCGTTTTCCTCTTTTCAATGGAATGACCTATATATGTATAGCTGTATATTTGGGTATGTACATATACACATTTGTGAATGTAAAATGTTCAAGGGCTAAAATAATTAAAATACTTACCCATAGAATCCTGACGAACGCCCACAGAACCCATATTTGTGCCATGTGTCATTGAGAACGGTTGCGTCATACCTGGGTAAGATGAAGCGCCCATTTGGAATAAATCCTAAAAAAAAACCACGTCATTACAAATATTTCCAAATATACAAATATAATATACAAATGTATATACATATGGAAATATGTTTATATATGTATAAATTTCGATCCCATGGATCATTATTTAAATGCCAAAGCGTGCTTGTTGGCTATGTATGGCATTTAACCAAATGAATTATAAGTTCGTTTTACACACCTGCGGATATCGATTTATTGAGTTGTGATGTGGATACGGCTGATAACCACGTGATACACTGTATCCTTGTATATTTCTCATCATGCCGTTGCACGAGGGGATCACAGATGGAGCCAAAGCTTTCTGCAGCTGCTTTTCTTGTTTTCGATATTTAGCGCGACGATTTTGAAACCAAACCTGAATTAAAATAAAGTAAAGCTTATTAAAAAATGAATCACAAACAACTGGCCTCAACATCAAAAAACAATTAGTAATTTAAATTTATATTAGGCCACAAATAACGCAACAAAAATTAAAAGACAAGCCAGTCTTCGAGTTAATAGTCTAAAAATGGAATTAAGTGAAACCACAAACACATGTTCAAGTCTAAATAGCAATAAAGTAGTTGTCCTTGAATGCAGTTGGGTTGATAAAATGAAAATGTGGAAAAGCCACAACAGGTTGCATGTACGAACTTAGCTCAGTGAGTAGAACACTGGCCTTTCACGCCGAAATTCACGAAAAAAAAACAATTAATAACGTAAAGCTTAATAGTTTTAAATATTTACTTAAAGCTCAGTTAGTCTAGACTTACTTTCAGTTACTTAACTTAACTTAATATTTTGGCCTACCTGTTATATGAGAAACTGTGTGGTCGGTTAGTTAAAACTTGATTCTCTCGGTGGATTAGAAAGGCGAAAGGAGACGGATCGTGGTATTCCTATAAGGAAGCCTTAAAAGGGCTCAGAGGACATCATGGAAAAACTTCTGTGACAATATTGAGGAACATTTGGAAGCCAACCGGTTACGGAAGGTATTATCAAAGAGTGCCATTTCTCACAGCTATATCCAGAGGATAAACAGCGAGTGGACTTCATCTCGGGATGATATGCTAGAGATTCTTCTAGATACACACTTGCCTGGCTGCACCGCGGCGGAGAGTAACTCGGCCCCTACTCTAGGATCATTTCCGGCGGGGGAAGCCATCGTAACCCACAGGAATGTGGACAGGGCCATAAAATCTTTTAAACCCTTCAAATCCCCTGGACTGGATGGCATTTTCACAGCGGAGCTGCAAGAAGCATCTGACATATTATGCCCCAACCTAACGGTAATCTAAAAAGCTTACATCACAAGATATACGACAAGGGGCACTCCTCAAGGAGAATTACTCTCACCACTCCTCTGGAATCTTACGGTAAACACCCTACTCATGTGCTGCAACGCTATTGCGTATGCCGATGCTCTTGCCCTAACTGCAACCGGTAAACACCCACAAATCCTGGGAGAACTGTTGCAAAACGCCTTGGTTATCGTGGAAACCTGTTCTAGAGAATGCGGACTGAACACTAACCCGGCTAAAATGGTCACGGTTCTCTTCACACGGAAAACAAAAATCCCCCCATTTCAACTTCCTACCTTAAATGGCGTATAGCTGTCGCTCTCTGATGAAGTGAAATACTTGACCGTCATCTTGGACAGGAAACTTACCTGGCAACGCAACGTAGAAGAGCGGGCCTACTACAAAACGGCTATAGGCAAGAAATGGGGTCTCAAACCCCACATAGTTCACCGGATTTACACAGTAGTGGTACGTCCTATATTATTCTACGGCGTCACAGTCTGGTGGACATCACTGGTTATCCAGGAGCTCACAAATTCTAAGCTTACCAAGGTTCAAAGGACGGCATGCATGCTAATCACAGGTGCACTGCCATCCACACCCACCAAAGCTATGGAAACACTTCTAAACTTTCTGCCCGTAGACCTTTTTGGGAAGCTACAGGGGAGCTGCAAAGCAGTAAGAATAAATGCACTGTCAAAATGGAAAGACACCAGATTAGGTCACACCAACATCCTAACCAACTACCCGGACACATTCAGGTCCCCAGATTATACGACACCACCGATGGTGCTCGAGAATAAGTTCTCGCCTCGTATTCCTTCAAGGAAGGACTGGGAGGACGACTCGGTCTGGGGCCTCCAAGATAACTCAACAGCCATTTACACGGATGATTCTAAACTAAATTAAGAGTAGGGAGTGGGATACACTCAAAAGACCTCTCACTAGATCTCTGCTTTAGGCTACCAGACCACTGCAGTGTCTTCCAAGCGGAACTCGCGGCCATAAAGGAGGCTGCACTCTGGCTCATCGATTCTTCTCTTAATCTACCTTCAGTAACAATATACTCCGATAGCCAAGCAGCTATTAAGTCACTGTATTGCTGCAAGACATCATCAATAACTGCGTTGGAATGTAGGAAAGCCCTTAACGATCTAGCTTCAAAATCAACTAGTGACATCGTGTGGGTACCGGGCAACAGGGACTTTCAGGGTAACTGTGCGGCGGACGAGCTTGCGCGGAAAGGAACTACCCTGTCGGGCGTGAACTCCTCTCATGTAGCGGGCATACACCTATCTACCTGTAAGACATGGCTCAGGACATACTTCGTTGAGAGGGCAAATAAAAGATGGTCGGTAGAACCCACGTGTGGGACGCCTCGACAAATCTGACTCAAATTCGACAAGAAAAGATCCGACGCACTCATTTGGCTAGAAGTCCTGTTCTAAGGCTGGTGACCGTTATAATTACGGGCCGCTGCTTAATGGGAAGGCATGCTAGCATAATGGGTTTGCCGACCAATGACTTCTGCCATGGTTGCCGCGACGAGGTCGAAATCGAGAGTGTGGAACACTACCTCTCTCATTGCCCCGCCCTCACGAGAGGGCGAGGAGACGTTCATTTCCCCCCACCGTTTTGATTGTCTCGCGGATCTAAGTGGAGCAGGCATTTACGAATTCTCGCGCTTTCTAAACCTAACCAACTGGTTCCACTTCTAGGTGAACGGACGGGTTCGAATTCGAGCTCTCAATTGCTATCACAACGGACCCACTGGGTCCAAGTGTGCCTCTCTCCTATGTTGGATGAAGGCAGCCGCTTCAACCTAACCTAACCTAACCTTGTTAAAATTTAACGTACCGTAAGCAACTAAGAACCTGTAAATCAGCAGTGCCCAGCGCAGCGCACTTGCCTATAGAATTTTGCCAGCGCAGGGCACTTGCTTATGGAGTTCTACCGGCGTTAAGCATGCCTGCTGTAGATTTTATATTCTTAAGTTGCGGCCTTACGGAAATTGAGAGCGCTGGGAGAATCAGGGTTTCAAGACTCTCGTTTTTGTATTTCTTAAAAATAAATGAACGCAAACATTTTCGTTTGCATGAATTTTTTCGGGGCCTCTAAATCTCTAAAAATAGGGGTGGTTCGGTTCAGTTGTTCGAATCACTTAGGAAAAGCTTGTACCGGTACAAGAACCCGTTCAAATGGTTTAATTTTTTATGCTAAAGCTTACAAATATTGCAAAAATATGGCAAATCTGTAACATAAAAATAAAAGGCTCTGTTACTAAGATCAAATTCAAATATCCACATGTATAGTGGTGGAAAAATAAATAGAGGCGCGACATTTCAGCAAGTTTTGGCTAATTTTCTTTTGTTTATTTAAGGTTCATTTATTTTTAACCATATGAATCCAAGTTTCAAACTTTGTGCAAAAATTATGAAAATTCTTCAAAGTTTCATCTAATAAAAATTTCTAGGAAGCATTTTTTAATTTCTAAGTTGATTAATGGCAATTTCTCAACGGATTTTCTGCCATACAAAGTATGTGGGAAATTCTTATTTGTATGGTAGAAAATGCGTAATATTAAAAAAAATTATTTAAAGTCAACGCGATCAAGGCGAAATTAGAAAAACTTTTTTAAGGTTTGGACAAGTCGTGAGCCTAGTCGAGTAGATAAAAACAGCATACTCAGAATTTCGAATTGACACTCAAAATCTTGGCTTAATGTTGAAACCCTCATTTTCGGTAGGTTGGAGCTTACATTAGGCCTTAACTTCATATGTCAAAATAATAGGAGTGCGAAATTTGACTTTCTTTGGTTTAATGTTCATATATTTTTTATAAATGTGTAGCTTGTTATATAACAAAAACCATATAAATCCTAATTTAAAACTTTGTACGAAAATTAGAAAAAATCTACAACTTTAAACAAAATTACATCAAAGTATACAGTTTTTATCAGAACTACAAAAATCCGAGTATGTAGTTTTTTGATTTTTTTGCTGGCGTTGATAAGCATTTTCTCCATATAAAAATATTTCAATCATTCTTTATATGGGCGAAATTACAACTCACGTAAATAGTTGCCATCAAACAAAAATGTTTTTGCGGTTTTACCATATGGGTTGCATTTTTAGAGAAAAATGTGTATTACAAAACGTAAAAAATGCTATAGGGGATTTTCATTTTGAACCGAATCGAACCATTTTTTGGAGTGGCTTTTGGTTCGGTTTTGGGATTTCAAAATAAAAAGGGTTCGGTTCGGAGTCCGAAAAAAATCTAAGGTTCGGTTCAAACACCGGTTCGGATCGAAACCGGTTTGCAGCCCTGAATTTTTCGATGTGGCATTTTAGGCGGCGAACTGTTAAACTGATGAAAAAGAAAATACAAAAACAAAATATTTCCACGCTTGGCTTAAGTTGACGTGTTTGAGTAATCATTGATGATTTCTTGTGGTAAGTTAAGTTAAGTCTAGACTAACTGAGCTTTTAAACCGAAACTTGCTCAGTTTCTTAAGTTTTCTATAATTTCAGTTATTAGCAGCTTTAGCTATCATTCATTATGTTTTCAAACTGTACCTTCAATTTTCCCAACTTAATTGAACCAAAAATTTTGCAATTTTTGAAGTGCAATTAAGCGGGAATATGTACTGTAGTCATTATATACAATTTGTGAGCTTCAAAATGAAAAACCTTGGGAGCATGTAATAGCCTTGAAAGAATTCCTACCTTCTATTCTACCATTCTACCATTACCAGAATTACCAGAATTCTACCACTAACCATTTCCAGTGAAAATTTTTCTTTAAAAAATTTTGCCAGTTCATCAGATATGGCCAGCTAAAAGTTGACATTGAAATCTCCTGCGGGAATTACAGGCCGACCATAACAGTCTACTTATCTTTATCTTCATCTCTATCATTCATCTTCTTCTTCATCTTCATCTTCATCTTCATCTTCATCTTCATCTTCATCTTC